TGCTGGTTTTGTGCTGTTGCAGGAGCCTGTCAAGCCCGAGGAAGGCCGGGATATGGCAAACCGCATTGGTGCATTCGGGTACATGGAGTGTTCGGCAAAGACCAAAGACGGTGTGAGGGAGGTGTTTGAAATGGCCACTAGAGCTGCTTTGCAAGCCCGGCGTGGCAAGAAAAAGTCCGGGTGCCTTCTCTTATAAAGCGTGGCCAGAGGAAGATGGCCAAAGCAGCACCCTGCACTTGAGTAATTTTGAAGTGCTGTTTATTAATCTTAGTGTATGATTACTGGCCTTTTTCATTATCTATAATTTACTTAAGAGATTTAAAAATCGAGTCATCTTGCTACCAGTATTTAGAAGCCAACCATGATTTTTATAACAATCTGCATCAAATTCATCTGTGCACCCAAGGTTAACCTCAACATTCCTCTAACAAACCTTTTCTGCACTCACAGGATATGCCAGGCGCTAATTGAAGACAATTCTCTTATCTTCTTTCTTCTCTCTAGAAAGAGAAAAAGCTGTCAACACAGAGGATTGGTCTGTAACTACTTTATAACTAACGTCCTATTCTAATTGAGTACAACAGTTACATGGCTGTATGGAATCGAGCGTAGCTTCAGTGCTATCACATTTAGGAAGATCTGATTTTCATGGCTCGGTGGTGTAAAACCATGAGTTTGAAAATGTGATCACTCTGAAATGACCAAGTCCCATTCAGCTAAGGAAAAGTGAGGGTTCTGTGGTTTCATGTTAGTTACCTTTTAGTTACTGTGTAATTAGTGCCAGTTTAAATGTATGTTACCAAAAATAAATCTATTTACCCCAGCTTAGATGTAGTATTTTTTGTATAATTGGATTTCCTAATACTGTTACTTGTAACCTCTGCGTTAAGGTGTTCTGGGTTTTTTAAGAAACTGTATTTGAAAATAAAGTCCGATGGAAAGCAGCTGATCCTCTTCCCCTTGTTCATTTGTAAGAGTCTGACCCATCTGAATGATTTGAGTGGTCTGCACACCCAGGAGGAGTTTTTTCCATGACGTGATGTAGGGATAAGAAAAGAGCCTGCTCACACTCAAAGCTTCTGAACTGTTCAGTTGCCTTAAATTCATTGCTGGACCCAGTTTCAAAACTTTAAAAAAAAAAAAAAGGAAACTTTTTGTGTAAGTTTGGTTACCATGTAGTGATCAGACTCCTAACCTGTGAACTTCTTGCTGTTCTGCAGCCAACTAAACTCTTTCTGTATTTTCATTTTTCCAAGAACTAATAGAATAAAGGCAGTTTTCTAAGCTCCCTGTATCCTGGTGTCTGTATTCCTCACTCTGGGTTTTTGGCCCAGCATCTGAGAGCCTGAATCAGAAATACCATTTTTGATACAGCCGTGAGAGGATTCTCTGAGCAGTTGCAAGTGCTTTAATACTCATTTTTGTTTCCCTGACAGTGATACCATCTGCTGCTCACGGTGGTTTCCGAGTGCTGCAGCAGAGCAGAGGTGGAATATCTCACCTGGCCCCTGCAGTGAGCGGCAAAGCTTCCCAGGAGCTTTTGGTACTCAGACCAGATGAGAGGCCGTCAGCTGAGCTGAACTTGCTGGTCCTGAGCACAGGAGTAGAGGAGCAGGAGGAGGCTGTGCAGGAGGAAGGGAGGAGCAGTGTTGCTGGAGGAGCGTGTGATGGTTTGCAGCAGCCGGGCTGTGCAGGAGCAGCAGCAGAGGCTGCACGAGGCAGGGTGTTTGCTGGGCCATTCCATGAGGGATGCCTTGGAGCACTGCAGCAAGGGCTGGGCTCGAGGTGTAGGCCCTGTGCTGCACTCCAGGCTGGAGAGCAGATGGTGCTGCTCCTGGGGAAGAAACAACGGGGAACAGAGTGGGCATCTCCACGCTCACACTGGGATTTACAGCAGCTGCTGCTGAGCCAAGAGCCTCCACGCTGGGCTGGGCAGGGCAGGAGAGAGTCCAATTGCTGATAACAGCCCATGTCACTGGGCACATGGCTGCATCCCATAATGGCCTACAAAATGCCCATGTCGGTTTTTTTCTTTTTTTGGACGGCGTTCCTGATTCCTTTTCCTGCAGCAAAGGAGACGCAGACTCAGCCATAGGAGTGCCCAGTACCTCTGGTCCTTGTCCTCCCTGCGCAGCCACAGACACCCAGAGTGACGGCTCTGGCCAGCCTGGTGGTGTCACCTGCCCCACCCTTCCCTCCTTCCGCCCCTGGCTGTTTGTCCTCCCGCCGTGGGTGACTGGGCTGAACAGAGCAGGAAGTTCACAGCTGCAGCGGGGGCTTCCTGGGAGGATTTCATTCGCTGCCCTGCTGACAAATTTAGTTACTCTCTTGCTGTTCCTTTTTTGGGGGGGATGTTGCAGTTGAACAAAAGCGGGGCTTTTCAGTCTTGCAGGGCTGTAGGGTTGCAATTTGCTGTGGTCACAGTTACAAAGCAGCTCTTCAGGGGCCTGGACTCGGGCCTGTTCCTCAGAGCCAGCTCGTGGGCTGTGTGTTTGTGGGTGCAATTCCACCCAGCAGTGACTGTTATCCCAGTTTTAAGTTCTTGCTGACCTCCAGCATCATTTGAGTCCTCAGCCTTCCTGCCTTCGAAGGCTGGCAGCCTGGCTCCCTTTTGGTTCCTGCCACATCTGTCACCTCTGGAAGCCACGTTTTTTCTGGATGAAACTGAGCTGAGGAGAAAGACAGCCAGACCTGACCTGGGAAATGAGAGCTCAGGACTTGTGCAGTGATCCAGGCTGGCAAGGGGCGGGGGAAAAGCTGGGAGTGCCAGCCCCCTGGGCAGGGTAGGGAGTTCAGTGCCTGAACTGGGGAGATGATGAAAGCAGGAGGCCAGAAAGGTGTGGTTTTGTGGCTTTTGTGATTCCTCACTGCTGTTAAACAGCAGTTTTCTGACCTTGTAGGACAACCGTCACTTGTCACACACCTCAAAAGGTGTCCCTTGAGCCCATCTAGTCCCTGGGAAGCTTCTGGCACTCCTCTGGGTCCACAGTTCAGCTGGCTCCACAGAATGTGTCCAGGCACAGGCCATAACTCTGAGCCAACAAGGAAGTTCAACTCATTCAGTGTCATTAGACCTCACTCATCAAGGACGGGAAAGCCCTAAGCTGCACTTCTCTGGAAAGGGCAGGGCCCCAGCAGTAAACTCCCTACTGCAGATGAACTCCCCAGGTCCAGACAAGACTGAAGGTGCCAGTCTGAGCAAGTGTCAAAAGTGGCAGCAGAGATGCCTCTGTGGCCCTGCCCTAGAGGTCACCCCAAAGGGAAATTCCTCTTCTTCAGGAACCCTGGCTCGCAGTGCCGGGGGGTGGGTGAGGGGGGAGGTGAGGAGGAGTCTGTGCAGACTGTAACTGTCAATTTACTCAAGAGGTCATGTGCCTCTGCTCATCCATCAGCCGTTTTTCCAGCTCTGATCTCTCTCAGGACACTTGTCGTGGCTCCTTGCCATCACTGCTGCAACACACTGCTGGTCCCCAAAGATGCAAGACAATCGGGCAAGTCCCCAGAATGTGCCACAACCGGGAAGTGGAACTATTCCAGTTCCCAGTTGTGGGGGCAGGTGCCAGAAGTGGTTCAAAGCAAAATCTCCAGGCCCTGCAGTCACCTGGGCACCCAAAACAAAGATAGAGGGCTGTGTGCCCGTTAGTGACAGCTGGCATTTGTGACAAGTCCCCGCTCCCAAGCATGAAAGAGGCAGACAGCATGGGGGGGCCCTGAGCGCATCCCCCCGTGCGGGGCCCAGGCTGCCTTGGCTGGGGGCCAGGGCTGATAAGCAGCTGTCTGACCTTGGGCTGTTGTGAACGGAGCTCACTTGGCGCAGATGCTGGCAGGAGCCTCATCAGGGGCTCCCTGCTTCTCCCTGGGAGCTGCGCTGGAGCTGAGGCCCTGGCTCTTTGTCCCTGCCAAGCTGTGCTTCCCCACGGTCCCTGTTGGTCCAACCCATGGACACAGCCTTGAGGCCTGACCCCGGACCTGCCTCTTCACGGGCTGCTCTGGAGAAGGGCGGTGTTTCACAAAGACCCGTGGAGGAGGGGATGGGCCATGTTTCCCAGTGTGGGCACAGCCTAGTTCATTTAGGGCTGCCTTGAATCCATGGGAAAGAAGAGCAGCTGCTCCTGTGTGACTTACAGGAGCAGTAAGGCAAGAACTGGACAAGTCAAGGATAGGGAAAAGCAACTCCTGGAGTTAGAAAGGGAACCTCCTCCTCTTTACCTAGTGAGGATATAGCAAGCTGTAGCCCTGTATGTAGGCTTTACCAGCCTCAAAGAGGTGGAAAAACTATAGAAGGATACTAGAAGGGAATTTATGGCCCCTCTTGGACACAAACTGAAGGTGCTCCTCTCCCCAAAGCCATCTTGGTGGCAGTGGTGTCCTCAGAAGGACGCTGCAGCCCCGGTGCTGTGCTGTGTCACTACAAAGGTTGGAGTTCCTGGGGTCACAGAATCAGCTAGGTTGGAAAAGGTCTCTGAAATCATCAAGTCCAACCTTTCACTTAACACCACCTTGCTTCCTAGACCACCGCATTAAGTGCCACATCCAGTCTGTTCTTAAATACTTCCAGGGACGGTGAATCCACCACCTCCCTGGGCAGCCCATTCCAAACTCTGATCACTCTCCCTGACCACTTTGCGTTTTGCTGCTTTTCCACAGCGTTCCCGAGGATCTGCGACACTTCCCTGTGACATTTCGGCCTTTCAGAGCCGACATGCCCGGCCCGATTCTCCTTGGGACTCCTCCAGCGGGCGGCGATGCCGGGGGTGGATCCGCGCTCGGCAGGGCCGCGCCCGCGGCTCGGGGCGGTGTCCGAGGCGGGTCCCGGCGGTTCGGGGCAGTATCAGAGGCGTGTCCCGGCGGTTCGGGGCGGTGTCCGAGGCGGGTCCCGGCGGTTCGGGGCAGTATCAGAGGCGGGTCCCGGCGGTTCGGGGCGGTGTCCGAGGCGTGTCCCGGCGGCTCGGGGCGGTATCCGAGGCGGGTCCTGGCGGTTCGGGCGGTCCGAGGCGGCGGCGGCGGGAGTTCAGTGCGAGCCCTCAGTGCGAGCCCTCAGTGCGGGCCATGGCGGCAGCGGGCGCGGCCGGGCGAGCGGCGGGGCTGGCGGCGGGGCTGGCGGGGCTGGCGGCGCGGCCGCTCGGCGCGGCGGAGCCGCTGTCGCTGGGCTCGCTGCGGGGGAAGGTGCTGCTGGTGGTGAACGTGGCGTCGCTCTGAGGCACGACCACCCGCGACTACCTGCAGCTCAACGAGCTGCAGCAGCGCTACGGGCCCCGCGGGCTCCAGGTGCTCGGCTTCCCCTGCAACCAGTTCGGCCACCAGGTAGGGCGGGAACGGGGCCGGGGAGCGGGGCCGGGGAGCCGCGCACGCCGTGCGGGCTCACGGGATGTGCGCGGCGCGGGCTTCTTTTCGTTTCCCCAGGAAAATGGCACCAACGATGAGATCCTGCCCATGCTGGAGCACGTTCGTCCTGGCAACGGGTTCAAGCCCAATTTCATCATGTTCGAGAAGTGCGAGGTGAACGGGAAGGACGCGCACCCGCTCTTCACGTTCCTGAAAGAGGCGCTGCCCTTCCCGCACGACGACCCCTCCTCGCTGATGACCAACCCGCAGTACATCATCTGGTCCCCGGTCTGCCGCAACGACATCGCCTGGAACTTCGAGAAGTTCCTCATCGGCCCCGACGGGGTGCCCTTCAAACGCTACAGCCGGCGTTTCGAAACCATCAAGATCCAGGACGACATCGAGTTGCTTCTGCAGAAGGCTCCCTAGAAAGTCCTCTGCCCATTCCCCTCACTCCCTGCTCCCCTCGCTGTGCACCTGCTTGTTTTTCTCGCAGGGAGCTGCTGCTCTGGTGGAAATCCCAATGTCTCGTGCAGGTTTTGCTTATGATGGTGCATCTTCCAAATCCTTGAAGTGTACTTGATGTTTTCAAAAGTTACACGGGAATGTTTGGGAAGCTAAGCCGGGGCAAGCAGCTGTGAATCTCAGTACCTTACTGTGATTCTCTGAATAAAAAAATGTGTACTTTTTTCAAGGCTGTGGCTTGATAAATCTGGATGAATGGTGGGTGCATTAGCTGTTCATCAGCCCATGTGGGTGCTCAGAGACTCGGAGCACTCGAGTGTGGTAGTGCAGTCAGGGTGAGGGCAGTGTGATGGGCAAACAACCTTCATGAACTCTGCAAGCTGTGAATTGGAGTCTGCCCTGCGTGTAATGAGCCTGGCAGAGCGGGAGGGTGGCATGGAACAAACAGACCTCACCACACTGCTTACTGGACCTCCCTCAGGGCTTCCCTGCAGAGGGAACTTGCTGGCACATGGCCAGGGGGTGATTTTACACTGACAAGTTCCCAGTGTGGCTACCAGCAACAGGCTGCAACACGTTAATACCTGTTGGGGCAGGGAGCTGAGTGATCCTGCAGCCTGGGCTGGCACAGGGCTGGGGTAAGGAGAGCCTGTTGGCTAAAACACATGTCATTATCTGCCCTCCATCAGCGGATGCCCAGGGGGCACCCAGAACAGGGCAGCACCTATGGTGGTTGCTGCACCTCCCCTTGTCCCAGAGCCACTGCCTCCTCGCTGCCTTAGCTGTCTCCTGGCTCTATCCCAATTTGCACTGCTGGTAACCCAGCGTGGATCCCTGCGTACTCACTCAGTCCTACGTGAAGCCTGAATCACCTTTGTGCATCCCCAACACCTTGCAGTGCAGGGAATCACAAAGAACCAGTTCTTTCCTGTTCCCAGGGCAATACCAGCCCATTCTCCCATGGAACTCTGCCTTGCCTCGGAGTGTCCTTGTTGCCCTTTGGGCACGGGAATTGCATGTGACACTCCAAGTGCAGGTCTGTCAGAGTTCAGGAAATATTTTCTTTTTTTTTTACTCCTTCCCTAACACTTTTTTGATTCCTGCCAACCATGGAGCTGACAAGTATTTCATGGAGTTGCTACAACTGGACTTCATGATCTTAGAGGTATTTTCCAACCTTGATAATTCTATGATTCCATAATAATTCTGACATGCTGTCCCTGCACAGCAATCCCAATTTTATAGGCTGCGGCTGAACAGCTGGAATTAGGATTGGTTTTCCCTGGAAAACTGTGAGCCTGCACCAAATTTCACCTGCTATCCTCCTGCCTAATGGCTCAGGTCCTTCTGCAGGGACATTTTCACTCCTTAAATGACTCTGTGAGCACATTTTCATTACAAGCTATTCCTCACAAGGCCTCGTAGCACTGATTATAAACTTCGTGTGGGACTGAGGAGTTCTAACCCAGACTAGAAACTTGGGCTCTCAAAGGGAAGGTGTAACACTTTCAAGCATCAGTTTTCATAACTAAAACCCTTGAAATTTGAAAGTTTGGGGGTTTTTTCCTGTTTGTAGCTTCTCACTTCACAGTCTCACCAGCTGCTTTGTTACTGTACCTATGTCCAAGGCGCTCTCAAGGATGAGGAGAGACTGGGGCAGATCCCCCAGCTGGTACCACCCTGTACCCCTGAGTCATTGAGCTTTGAACTCAGATTGCACAATCCTCACCGGGCTATTTCTTAATCCCAGCGCAGCTTCGCAGAGAAAAACAGGATGTTTTCAGCAGCTATTTCAGCTTTGGAGCAGATGATATATGGTTTAGGGGATTATTTTTCAGTTAAGTCTACTTCCCCCATTAATACAGGATGTTGAAATATGTGGAGAGCTCAGGGGATCATGGGCAGCAGGAGCTCACGGCATTGAAAAATCTTTCTCAATGTGAGCTGTGGCACTTCCTCAATCCTGACTCACCAAACTCGAGCCATTTGAGTGGGGCCTCCTTTGCTCTGCCTGCTCCTCACCAGGCTCTGGCCAAGCCCCACTGCCACAGGGCGCAGACCCCAACACCTGCTGCTGTTCCACCCTGCCAGAAAGGGCCTCTCGCCGACCCTGCCGGTCAGAAATGCACCTTACACTTGCTTATTCAGTGCTGATGGCCAAGGGATTTATTTACCTTCCGGCTGCCAGGGCTGTGCAAGCAGAAAAACAAAGCAACAGCTCTAGAACAGATCCAGCCGTGCCAGCAGCAGCACAGTGACGTGATTCCAGGATGAAAAGCAGCCATGCTAGCAGGAAAATGAACCTTCCCGGTGTAAGCACACTGGCAGGAACTCCGCAGTGTGGATGAAAGCCACCCAGCCTTGTTATTCCCTGTCACATTTCACATTCCCTGGAGTAGCTGGCTCTGGGCTCCAGTGGGCTGTGGTGCAAAGGGCAGGGGCTGGAGCCCTCTGGCAGTGACAGGGCAGTGGAGCACGGCACCCACGCAGGACCTTGCACCCAAACCTTGCCTGGTGTTGTGACCAGAGGGGATGAAGACGTTTCACTACAGGGAGCAGCTCTGTGCTGAGGGGAGATGTGAATAATCCCAGGCGATTCCACAGGGATTATAAACCAGCCCAGTTCTATTTCTGTAATTTCTGTAATTTCAGAGAGAAACAAACTGACTCAGAGGGAAACCTTAAAATAAACAATACTTTAGCACACTTGGGTGCTTCTGTGGCTTGAGGATGTTGTCCTTTCAACATCTCCCATCTGTCACATCTATACTCCTACACTATTTTTCGCTCTTTCTACACTTTTATTGCAAGCAGCTAATCCCTCTGTTAGTGTTTACCTTGTTTTTCCATTCTTCTGCACATCAGAGTTCATATATTCTCTCCTTTCTAGAAAGTGTTTGCCCCCCACTCCTCTCCCCTCCAAATGATTGCCTACCCCCTTTAGCTGCTGGTATTTGTCACCAACTTCTTAAATCTTTAAACAAGTTCAGATGTTTGAAGCTGTCAGGACTGCTAACTAGTTCCAAGGAAAATTATCCTTCTTGCCTTCATCTCTCTCTCCCAGATTCCCCAGTGTTCTGCCCACCAAACCCTGTCCCATCTCCTGAAATCCTGGATGGTGAGATGTGGTGTTCAGAAGTGTCTACTGAACAGCAACGCTGGAGTCTGAGGCCATTCTTACTCAGCCTGTTCAAGGTTCTTTCAGGTATTTAGAATCCCTTTTTCCTCCTGCTGAGCTTTGTTGTTCCCAGTAATTTTTAAGACAGCTTTCAGTCACCGTGTTTGATCATTGCCATTATAAGGCAGGTAGGAAATACCTGCTTCCAGCTGTGTGGCACTTGAGAGGGCTTTGCTCCTGTCAGTGCCACTCTTGCAGCCATCCGTTTCAGCTGCAGGCAAGAGCAGGAAGTCAAATGGCTGAAAGGAAAGTGCTTGAGGAGAACAGAGACATCCCTGTCTACAGTGGAACTATAACAATGTAATTTCCTTGTTCTGAATCAGAAAGGTCTGAGTGAAACCATTTAATTGTTTGCCACACTTTCTGTGAGGAGCAGGTAATTCACAGCAGAGTGAGGTCAGCCATGTGAGCACTATCTCAGAATAGCTGACTCATTTTAAAAACACACCCAGCCTTGCCATAACAGGGCGTGTTAGAGCCCAGAGGGGCCCTGCCCTCTGAGGAAAACTGGAATAAGTAACACTCAACACTTACTGGAAGGAGAAAATGGTCTTTTCAGTGTTAAGTAAACGGACTTGCCCTACTCTCAGAAAGATAAGAGCCCTTTATCGCGTTCCCCCATGGCTGCAGCACTGCCCAGCTTGCTGGCAGGAAGCAGAGCCCTCCTGCCCATGGTGCTGCCAGAACTCTCCGGGCACAGGCACAGCCCCAGCACATCACCCCTGCCTCTTTTTTTTTTTTCCCATTAGGTGAATGGATTTCTTTGGGGTATCAGTTTAAGGCACATTTCAAAGTCTGAATCGTCATTCCCAATTCTCCCACTTCTCAAGGACAGGCTCCCTGAACAGCACAGGATGAGCTACTCGAGGGTCAAATGCCTGAAGTTCTCTCCTGAGACACTTTAAAATCTCTGAGCTCTCCCCAGCCGGTTACTCAGCCACATTCTCCTGTTTACTACCGTAGCAATTTGAAGTCCCCTTCCCTAACCCACCCCGACCACTGTGTTCCCTGACGGATGAGGGAAAGTGGAGCACCTCAAACTGAAACCACAGTCCAAACAAAGCGTTTCTGCCACCTGCTTTGGGAGAGGCCACCCCGGGAGAAAGAAGAATAAAATATTTATGAAGAAGTGAGTTTAGTCTTCAAAGCCCGTGGAAAACACTGAGCCATAGCTCAGGGAGAAGAAGATTCTTGGTGAGAAAGTGAAGCACAAGGTGTCTGGAGCCCAGAGCAGAGGGGCTGGCAGCAAGTCTGGCGACTGAAGGCGAAACAAAGAATTCACGCAACAGCGAGACGGGCAAGTTTCTCAGGCAAACTAAGCAAAAGTATTTAACAGCGATAACAGCCCCTTTCACGGGCTGATGCTGCCGAAGAGACAGAAGGGAACAGAGCGTTGGCAGGTGTGTCTTTATTTGAAGCACTTAAAGCGGCTGCCCCGGGGACGAGACCCGTGCCCTGGGGGGTGAGTCCTGCAGCGTTCCCGGCCTGGGCAGGACCCTCATGGCGGGAGCTCCCCCCGCCCTCCGCGGGCCCCTCACGGTACCGCCCCAACATGGCGGCCGCCGCCACGGCGCGCGCGGCCCCGCCCGCCGCTCGTCACGGGTCGCGCGCGCGCGGGGCGGGGCCCGTCCCTCCCCCCTCCCCGCGCTCGTGCCCGCGCGAACGCGCGCGCGCCCCGACCTCCGCCCGCGCCGGGTCTCGCGCACGGACATGGCGGCGGCCGCGGGCGGCGCGGAGCGGGCCCGGCCGGACCCGGCGGCGCAGCGGGCGGAGCTGGGGCCGCTCCTGGCCACGGCCCTCCGGCCCGGGGAGTCCTGGTGAGCGCCGGCGGGCCTCCCCTCCTCTCCCTCTCTCCCTCCCTCCCTGTCCCCATCCCCCGTCCCCGGCCCCCTCCCCTGCGGGCGGCGGGGCCTGCGGGCCGGGCCGCGCCGCCGCTGATGGGCCGCGCCGGGCGGGGCCGTGCGTTGCAGGTACCTGGTGGAGAGCCGGTGGTTCAAGCAGTGGAAGAAGTACGTGGGCTTTGACAACTGGGAGATGTTCGGCGCG